GTGTGAGCATCTGTATGTGTGTGAGGGTGTGTGTGTGTGTATGTGTGTATGTGTGTGAGCATCTGTATGTGTGTGAGGGTGTGTATGTGTGTGAGGGTGTGTGTGTGAGCGTCTGTATGTGTGTGTGAGTGTGTATGTTTTTGTATGTGTGTGAGGGTGTGTGAGTATGTGTGTGTGTGTATGTGTGAATGTGTGTGAGCGTCTGTATGTGTGTGAGTGTGTGTGCACGTGCCTCCAGGAAGCCTTAGGAAAGCCCTAGTGCAGAGCCCCACATTGCACCTGGTTCTAGGTCTGCTGTCTTAACCTTCAGACTGGGTTTCCTTCCCACATGGGGGAGTGACAAGAATATCCCTTGAGGCTGTTGGGAGGGTGGGACAAGGATGTGCTGGGAAACCATCCTGCCAGGTGAGGGGTTATTCTGAGCTGGTCAGACTGGAAGAGGTTCTCCATTTCCCCGCAAGGGCATCTCGACCCTTCTCTGCTGGCCTCCCGCCCACTGCCTCGTTCTCCGGAACCGACATCATCTGACCCTGGGGAGTCAACAGAAGCCTTTGCCCTGGCCTCCCACCCCCACCTTCCTGCCCGCAGACCGGCTTCAGCCTCACCTCATCTCTCTCCCGCCCTTTCTTGGAACCTGAAACTTTCTACCTCCGCCCTCTACCCCCAGGTCTTCCACCTTCCCCTCATTCCTGGCTCCCGTCAGCCTGTATTCCAACATGCTCAGTTTTTCCCATCTGGCATAGTAAACCTGGGCTCCCTTGGGGCTCAGACAATTAAGAATCTGCCTGCAATGCAGGAGACCTGTGTTCGATCCCTGGGTCGGGGAAGATCCCCTGGAGAAGGGAATGACAACCCAGTCCAGTATTCTTGCCTGGAAAATGCCATGAACAGAGGAGCCTGGCAGGCTATAGTCCGTGGGGTTACAAAGAGTTGGATACGACTGAGCGACTAACATTCACTCACTCATAGCAAACCCTCCCCTGACCCCACATCACCCTCAGTTGCTGTTTTTCTCCCCCACTGCAAAGTCAAATTCCTTGAAAGATGAGCCTCAAACCATGACCCCTACTCTTTCCTTCACTTCTTAGCCAGTTTCACGATTTTTAAAAAATTTTTGGCCATGCTTCATAGCATGTGGGATCTTAGTTCCCTCACCAGGGATTGAACCCACACTCTGTGTAGAGGAAGTGTGGACTCCTAAACACTGAACCACCAGGGAATTCCTGTGTCATATTTTTTAATAGAATGTTTATGGAACTCTACCTGTGAGGTGCTTTTCTAAGCACTTGTGTGTAAGTGACCCACTGAATACCCAGAACAACAATTCAAAGAGTTAGGCACTGTTACTAGCCCATTTGACAGATGAGGAAACCAAGGGAGAGAGATTGAGTGTGGTCACGCTGAGTACAATCCACACCCAGGGAGTGAGTGGTTGCAAAACCAGGCAGTCTGTCTAGTTCCCACGTGCAGGGATCCAGGAAGCAGATTCATGACAGGTCAGCAACCAGCTCTTTGTCCAAACAATGTCGGTGAGTTTTGATTCCCCCATCCTGCCTTGTCTTGGAGCACTTCGGTTTCTTAAATCTTGGTGTTCCTCTTTCTCTTCCCCTTTCTTCTCCCTTTCCTTGGGTGAATCCACCCATTCCAGGGGTCGCTGGATCTCCTAAGCTATAGTCCGCCAGGCTGCTCTGTCCATGGGATTTCCCAGCAAGAATATTAGAGTGGGTTGCCATTTCTTCCTCCAGGGGATCTTCCCAACCCAGGGATTGAACTCGTGTCTCCTGCATTAGCAGGCAGATTCTGTACCACTTAGCCCCCAGGGAAGCCCCTTGATCCCATTAGGGGTTTACAAAGACTCCAGTCTGCACTGTTTGCCGCAGTCAGTTAACCACCTGGGATCTCAGCTTACAGGTCACTTTCTCAGGAGACTTCCAAAGACCATCTCTCTGTATGCTTTTCACGTCCACATCTGGCAGTGTCAGATTGCTTCTTATTCTGGACTGTAATTGTCCATTTCCTGGTTTGAGGGCCCTGTCCCCCACCACGTCTGGGAAGTGTGTTTCCTTTTAGATCTGATGGCTTCATGCCTTGTCTGTTGAGAGCACTCCATAAATGTGTGCTGAGTGACATTTCAATGATGTGGATCTGGCTGGAACTGTGGGAGGGAAAGGAATTGCAAAGTGGTGGTTTGGTTCAAGAGAAATCAAAGAGAGGGAGGTTCAAGAGGGAGGGGACATATGTTTATCTATGGCTGATTCATGTTGATGTATGGCAGAAACCAACGCAGAATTGTTCATAGTAAGTTAGGGACTTTGGGAAGGTCATGTCCACACAGCTATGTTTAAAATGGATAACCAACAAAGACCTTTTGTATAGCACAAAGAACTCTGCTCAATGTCAAGTGCCATCCTGAATGGGATGGGGGTTTGGGGGAGAATGAATCCATGTATATGTATGTATCCATACATACATAGGATACATACATATCATATCCATGTATATGTATATGAAACTATTACAACACTGCTAATCGGCTATACCCCGATAGAAAATAAAAAGTTGTAAAAATAATGTAGAGCAATTATCCTTCAATTAAAAATAAATAAATTTAAATGTTAAAAAAAGATAAAGAGAGGAGGAATAAAGTAGAAGTTTGGAATGAACGTATACACATGCTATACTTAAAACAGAAAACCCAAAGGACCTGTTGAATAGCACAGGAAACTCTGCTCAGTATTCTATAATAACCTGAATGGGGAAAGAATTTGAAAAAGAATATATATATATATCCTGAATCTCTGTGCTATATACCTGAAACTAACACATTGTAAATCAACTATCCTTCAATTAGAATAAAATAAAATGAATGCGAAAAAAAGATAAGAAATATCTAAATAGACACTGTCCATAGAAATTCATTGAACTGTAGGAAAGAAAAGTATAACTAAAAATATGTGTGCCAATTTGGCAAGATTGAAAAAAAAAAGAGAAGAATCAAAAAGAGAAGCACAGAAGCATAGGAATGCACGTAGCCGGGCAGGCTTGTCTGGGTCCCGCTTCTCTCACCTTCCCCTCCAAGAGCCGTGGGAAGAGCCTAGGTTCAAGTGGGGAGGATCTGTGTTCATGTCCTGCCCCACCACCAGCTGCAGTGTGATCTAGAGAAAGTTCCTCAACCGGTTTGTTTGTTTCTCATTGACAGAAGCCACCTGAAACCGCAGGGCAGTGGGCCAGGGCTCTGCTCTTTCTCTGTCCTCAGGTGTCCTTGTGCAAATGGCCCCCATCTCCATGCCACTGTTGTCCAACTTAGAGCTGAGCGCCTCGGCCAGACCCTTTCCAAGGGCATTCCCATGTTCAAACCCCCTTATCTCCGTGTATACTTAGATTTTACCTCTGAAAGTTCAGCCCAGCAACGAACATCTCTCCCAGAGGAAGGAGGTGATGACATTTTACCTGGCTGTCCTACACCCACAAGATGACACAGCCCTGCCCACCTGGAGGAGCAATTGTAGAAGCTGTTTATGCAGATGGAACAGCCTGCACCATAGGGCTGCTTGGGAATTACATTGACTCTGGGTGCCTAGATAGGAAGAGCTGATAAGACCACAGCTGATAAAAAAAAAAAAACAACAAACCACAATTTTCATGCAAAGCTTATCTCTTTCAGCTTCACAACAGCCCTGGGTTGGGGGTGGGGGGGGATGGTCTTGAGTAGAGGGTGGGCTGCCAACCTGGAGCCACAGGAAGAGCTGATGCTGTGGATCAAGTTCAGAGGTTGCCTGCTGCAGAATGCCTTCTTGCTCAGAGAAGGGCAATCTTGCCTTCCACTCAGGTCTTCAACTGATTGAATGAGGGCCGTGTCCCCGCCACATTATTGAGGGCAGTCTGTTTCACTCAAGTCCATAGATTTAACTGTAAATCTCATCCAAAAACAGCCCTATAGAAACACCCAGAATAATGTTTGTTCACATGTCTGGGCACCAGGGTCTAAACACAGTGACATATCACATTAACCATCACAGGGGCTTTCTGTTAATCCCTACAACCTGGGAGGTAGGTCTTGGGGTCTCCACTGATGGTAAGGAAAGGGAGGCTCAGAGCAGTGATGAGGTTGATTCGGGGCTGTAGTGCATGCCATCACCAAGGGGCATCTCCCACGACTACACAGAGAATGCTCCCTGGGTGTTAGTCGAAAACCAGCACCCAGGGGCCCAAAGCAGGGACTTATGAGGTATTGCTCAGAACCCGATAGAAACAGATAGCCATTTCAGTTTTTATTCATAGCTCTGTTCCTTCTAGGGTTGACAAGGGTCTGGGCTTGGGAATCATGAAGCATCTAGACAACCTATTGATAATGATAATCTCTCCACCTTACTTTGCTTTGATGCTTTATAGTGTTACAGCTTCATCGTGCATTAAAGCTGAGCATCCTCAGTGAAGAGGGGAAAAGAACATTTTGTGTTGCAGGCTCCCCTGGTGGCTGAGTGGTAAAGAATCTGCCTGTCAATGCCTGTCAATCTCACAGGAGATGTGGGTTCAATCCCTGGGTCGGGAAGATTCCCCTAGGAAGGAGATGGCAACCCATTTTGGTATTCCTGACTGGAGAATCCCATGGACGGAGGAGCCTGGCGGGGCTATAGTCTGTGGGGTCACAAAGAGCAGAACATGGCTGAGCACACAGACTTCATGTTATCCTTCATCGGAAGGACTCTGCGTATCAGAAAGCTAAGCACATCAAGACCACTTACACTGCTGGAAATATTCCTAGTGGAAATAAGAATGAATCTTTCTTATTTATGTGTCAAGTTTTTCCAGGCTTCATTGGCTTGTGGGTACTAGAGACAGTCACAGTTATGTTAGTCACTAAAGAAAAAAAAAAAAGAACAGAAGGGAGACGCTGGGCAGCTGGGAGCGCACACCTCTCACCATTTAGCTAAGATTGCCTCATTTCTTCATACCTCACTGTGGAAAGTCTAACATCTCCCTCCCCGTGCTTCTCTTGGTCAATTGGCCCTGGCTTCCTGCTCCGGGCCAAGAGCGATCTTATCACCACTCTCGGCGACGGTCCTGTTTGCCAACCTAGCAAGCTTCTCCTCGACTTCAAAACCCACCTCCTCTCCCCCCACCGAGAGGCATCCGTGCCTGTGGCCGGCTTCCCAGTTGCCTGGCGGGGGTGATGCAGGGAACGCACAGTGAGGGCTCCAGGCTGGACAGGCGCCCACCTGTTCTTTCCAGATGAACTTCTCGAGGCCTTTCTGCAGCCTGGTTCCGGCTCCCGGTTGCTTGTCCCTCCCTATTTCCTCACCCTCCTTCCTCTGCCTTCTCATCACTATCCTCTTTCTCTCAGAAAAGAACATTAAGTTCCTCCCGGTTTCCTTGGTGGGGAAATTCCATCTTTTGTCACCCAGAGCATTCATCTCGGCTCTGGGCCTCGCCCTGGCTGTCCTGGGAGTGGGCAGAGGCCTTCTGAGAATTCTTCATGAGAGAGGCTGGCCTCCTCCCTCCCCAGTCTGACTCCTGTCGCCTTGGGAGGCTATGCTGCGCTTCCCAGGGCCGGCCAGTTTAGACCGACACAGATCCCCATCGATCCCAGCTGGAGGACCCCCGGCTCTGACCTACACGGCTTTGTGATTCATCCACCCCTGTGGCTTGTCCACAGTGATTGGGCACCCTGAGCTGATGGCAGAAGGGTCTGGTCTGGAAATTGCCCTTGACTTTCTGGTGTCTGGAAAACTCTGTGCTCAGGTGGACACCTGGCATGGTGTTCACAGGATCCACACCCCCCCCACCCCCACCTCTGCCCGCCTCATTGCAAATACTCCGGGCTCTGGTATTCAGGGACCCTCCTCTGCCTCGCAGGAATCTACATACCCTGTTCTCTACTGTGGGTGTCGAAGGCTGGACATCCAGCTCCAGGGAGTTCTGATGCCCAGGCTCTGGAGTCCTCTGCAATCCTGAGATGTTCTATGTTGCTAAAGCAGTTCCCTGTTGTTCAGTTGAACCCTGGGGGTCCTGAAAGCTCATTCATGCAAGTCAAGATGCTCTGTTTCCCTGAATAATGCCTCCAGATGACCCAACCTTGGGCTCACAGGGACACCCGCTGCTGTTCTCAGAACCTTCTTTTCTGTGTGACCTGGTAAATTGAATGCTGAGGTGGATAGCCTTTGTTTAAGTGAATTCTTGTGGTCTCTTAGCCAGAATCTGGACAGGAAAGGACTGAAAAAGGAGAAAAAAAGGTCAAGCTCAGTGTATTTTCACAATAATTTTTCGTGATCCCTTCTGTGTGTGAGGCAGTGCTACCTTTAGAACGGAGCTGGGTCCCCATTTTCCCACCCCCCGCTCAGTGGATCTCTGATCCTGTACCCTTTGCCTGAACTTGACCCCGGGAGCTCTGGGCCCTGTGGCCTGGCCTCAGTTCCAGGAGTCAGCTTGTGCTGCTGGCTGGTGTGGGATCACGGGAGACTGAGCTGTGGGAGTGACACTGACATGATGATTTAATGTGACTGCAATAGTCCACCTAGACAGGAGACCAGAAAAAGAATATCTGGGCAGAGGCTTGGCCACCCTGGAGGTGACCCTGGTGGCAGGACAACCGGACAATGTTTGGCCACTTGATGCGAAGGGCCAACTCAGTTGGAAAGACCCTGATGCTGGGAAAGGTTGAAGGTAGGAGAAGGGGATGACAGAGGGTGAGATGGTTGGATGGCATCACTGACTCAATGAACATGAGTTTGAGCAAGCTCCGGGAGTTGGTGATGGACAGGGAAAGCTGGCATGCTGCAGTCCATGGGGTTGCAAAGGGTCGGACACGACTCAGCAACTGAACAACAACTGCCCTCCAGGAACCTGTGTTCTCCTTGGGGGAGACAAATTGGGGTGATCTGGCTGGGGAAAGAAGGCAAGCAGGTAAAGGGGGTAGACAGCAATGAGGAGGCCAGCTGGGGAGTCCTCACTGATAGGATGACACCTTAACAGCAGTGAGAAACATATCTGTGTGTATATGGGGGAGGGTTTCTCAGACAGGAGAACAGGAAGATGGCTGCCTGCTTGGCCTCAGCCACAAGGAAAACCATGAGGACAGAGAGCTCATGGAGACCAGATTGCGCAGAGAGCTTGCAAGCCCTTGTAAAGACTGGCTTTCAGGGACTTCTCTGGTGGTCTCGTGGTTAAGAATCTGCTTGGCAATGCAGGAGACACAGGTTCAATCCCTGGTCCAGGAAGATTCCACATGCCTCAGAGCAACTAAGCCTCTGTGGCACAACTACTGAAGCCTGCATGCTTTAGAGCCTGTGCATCGCATCTAGAGAGCTGCCCTGGCTCGCCGCAACTAAAGCCTGCACGTAGCAGTGAAGATCCGGCACAGCCATAAATACATAAAAAATTTAAAAATTAACATTAAAAAAAAAAAACTGGTTTTCCATCCAAGGAAGATACAAAGCCCTTGAGGGGGTTGAGCAGAGGAGTACATGATCTGACTTACCCTTTTACAAGGATGAAAGTGAAGGTGTTAGTTACTCAGTCGTGTCAACTCTTGGCAGCCCCATGGACTATAGCCTACCAGGCTCCTTTGTCCATGGGATTATCCAGGCAGGAACACTGAGTGGATTGCCATTTCCCAACCCAGGGATCTAATCTGGGTCTTCTGTATTGCAAGCAGATTCTTTACCATCTGAGCCACCAGGGAAGCCCTTTTAAAGCATGACTCAGACCTATACGTGTTCATTGCTATATAGTACTTCATCGTGTGTGTGTGGGGGGGGTGAATAAACAACAATTTACTTGTCCACTCTCCTTCCATAAGCTCCCGGCATGCTGTTTGCAATAATAAGCTGTTATGAACAGCTGTTACGAACACAGTTTTCACATTGGGTGGGGGTTTCCATTTCCATACCTACGAGATGAATCACTGGGATGAACATCATCTTGAACTTCTGACCATGTATTGGATTTCCACCTTCACTTGGATTTCTGACTGATGTATGTAAAATCTGACTTCTGATTTCCTCACTAGCAAAGTCTCTTCCTAAAGTCTCCACATATCAGTAAAAGGCAACTTCAAACTTTCTGGTGCTCAGGTCAACACCTTTGTGTCCTCCTGACTCTAAACTATCACTGAATCCTATTAGACTGAACTGACCCTTCCTAATTAGATCCTCCTTGCCTACTACCCTGGTCTAAAGCACCATCATCTCTCACCAGGATTAATCCAATAGTCTTTTTTTAAATATAACTCTTTAAAAAGTTTTTATTTATTTATTTTTGGCTGCCCTGGGTCTTTGCTGTGCAAGGCCTTTCTCTAGTTGCGGCGAGCGGGGGCTACTCTCCAGTCGCTGTGCTTGATCTTTTCGTTTTGGTGGCTTCTCTTGTTTTGGAGCACAGGTTCCAGAGCTGTGGCACGCGGGTTTCACTGCCCTGAAGCATGTGGAATCTTCCCGGAGCAGGGATTGAACCCGTGTCCCTTGCATGGGCAGGTAGGACTCCTACCACAGGACCACCAGGGAAGACTTAAACTGCATCCTCTTCCTTGGTTTACCTACAGAGGGAGCTTTTGGAGACCTAAGTCAGGTCAGGACCCTTCCTCTCCCCACACCATGCAAAGGCAGCACCTCCTTCAGAGGAAAACCCTTGGAACGTCCTTGGAATGACCTATGAGACCATCTGTCTCTTGTTTCCTGTCTGACTCCCTCTCTGTGACTCTCTTGCTCTCGCTGGCCTCTGCTCTGTCCCTGGGACCTGCCGACACCCTGCTGCCTCAGGCCTTTGCACTGGTTGCTATACTAAAATAGCTTCAGTGTTCTGCTTTTTTCAGTGTTTATTGTCTGTTGCCCTTAATAAAAAGCGCTTCACAGGCAGGGCGTTTGTATCTCCAGCACCTAAAATGGTGCTTGGCACAGTGTGGGTCCTGGGTGGCTGTTTATTGGATGAATCAATGAGCGGATGAGCGTTCTGAGCTGTGTAACCTAAGCCAGACAAAGAGGAGGTGACGTCAGGAGGGGTGCGAAGCAGGGAGCAGGTGGCGGGGTCAAGGGACAGAAGTCCCTGGGTAAGGTGGGAAGGTGGTTGGGTTTGGGGTTCTAGAGGAAGGAGAGGCAAGAGGGGATGAGAGGGTGCATACCTGGGTCAAGTGATGCAGAGGCTTTCTGTTCTGCCTCATTGGCTGCTTCTTCTCGGCACCTTTGCTGGTTCCTCCTCTCTAGAACTGGAGTGAAGTCATGAATACTTATAAAATTAAGTTAGTGAAAGTGTAATTTTCTCAGCCGTGTTTGACTCTTTGTGACCACACAGACTGCAGTCTGCTAGGCTCCTCTGTCCTTGGAATTCTCCAGGCAAGAGTACTGGAGTGGATAGCCACTCCTTTCTCTAGGGGATCTTCCCAACCAGGAGTTGGACCTGGGCCTCCCGCATTGCAGGCAGATTCTTTACCATCTGAGCCACCAGGGAAGGTCCCAAACTAAGTTAGTACATCTATAAAAATGAAATAAAACAGAATAGGAAATAGCAGAGTTCTATGTGTGTAGGAAGGGTAAGTGTCACGATAAAGCTTTATTTCATTGAGGGTTGTATACATGGTGCGTGTGTGACCTGAGTCTTATACATGGTTGGGTCAAAGACAAACAAATTTAAAGCCACTGGTTCTGACTGTGGGTGAGGAGGTGGAAAAGCTCAGGGGCCAGGTGACTAGAAGGATTTTGTTGTGAATCTTGAAATCATCAATGCTTCCTAGGGGGTAGTGCTGGAGAGAAGGATAGTTAACCAAGGTCAAAACTCTTCAAGAAACGCCCATGAGTCTGAAAGTGGTCTTTCCTCCTTGCCCAAGGCTTCTTGTTCTAAATTTTTCAGTGGTCCTCCAGCCCAGAGCAGCTCGTGGCTCCTTGCCCACCAGTGATTCCAACCTGCCTCAGTATCCTAGCAACCTGCCTCTGATGCTGGGTCATGGTCCTGGGCTGGGTTTCCTCACTCATACTTCTCACTCTTTCCAAGTATGCTCATCAGGAAAACAGCAGCACAATGTTGAAACGGAGCAGGATCCTGTGGCTCTTGCCACTGCCTCCCCCCCACCCCATATCCTCTGCCTGCCTTTTGTCTATGGAAAAACTTTTGCCAAACAATAAGTCTAATCAGAGAAGTGAGAAGATGCAAACATAGGAAAACAATCAAAGTAGACCAAATAAAAATAATTTAGTCATTAAGCGTAGTCAAAGGATCTTATTTCCTCCTCCCGGTTTAAAGATAATATTCTGAGCCATATCCTGTGAGCTGTCTTGTAGATACTGAAATCCCCATGGGGTGGAATAATTTAACTACACGATGACCAGACTGTTGCCACGGACCTAAGCTGCCACAATTCTGAGAACTGGCCTCAAGGAAATGAAAACAAACTGACTATGGAACTGAAGATTAACTGTACTTAAAACAA